GCAATGGGGCCACCCCCCCTGCAATTGGCCAGGGCTGTATTCATATTCATGCTGCTCATTTGCCTAGTTCCCTCCCATTTCCTGGAAGGCTCTCATAGCTTCCTAAAGGCGGGCAGAACCCAGACAAACTCAAACAGCAGCAGAGCATCATGAGCAAACCTGACTAATCAATCACAGCACTATGTTAAGCAGAGAGCCCAATTAGATTTACCTAGAAGTCTCTCTATTAACCATTGAAACACAGCTATACTTATCATAACTATACAAATTCTAGCACCTAACTAGGAGGGTGTTACATTAGGAAGGATCCACTTTTTCCAGTTGCTTTGTAACAGTGTTATATATAGCCAATTTAAATAAATAAATAGACACCTTTTTGTACCAGTGTCAAACTCGGGAAGGGGGGGGGGACCAAGTACGACTTCATCATTTGGTTGTTGAATTGCACCCCTCCCATGTTAAGGTTATAGTCATGGACAAAGAGAGACTTCTGAACAACACCAGTTGCCATGAAAATTTAGACTGTCGTATCTGCATGAATGGAAGACAGGACAAAAACATCCCATTTGTCCTTCCAATTCCCTATGACTAATTCACTATTCTTCAAGCAGGTTTTCTGCCCCTTTCTAAGATGGGTGTTTATAAGACTTGGGGGAAGCCCTGGCGATTAGGTCACATGGTGCCCCTGCAGCCAATTCCAAGGTTGTATGAGTGTCTAAAAAGTGGCACGCTTGTATAGAAGTTGTCCACATACAAGTGGTACCTCTTGTGGAACAAAGACAACACCAAGTCCCATACTATCTTGCCACTGCTCCCCCGTATAATCTGGGCATTAAAGGAGCTCTATTTAACTGTCTCTTACTCATAAACTCTAAAATTACATGTATAGTCTGTTGCTCTTTTACATAGCTCATACATTTTGAGCAGATATTTTGTTGGGACGTATACATATCTGCAAATTTCTCAGTGAGGTAGTTTTGTAGAGCTGACCCTTAGAACTTGTTCACACTATTTGTGGTGCAGAAATGCATGCAAGAACACACATTTTTCCAGCACAGCAAAGAAATGCAATGCCCTTTGCAGATGTGCGCAGGTACCATGATGAAAACTTAATTGCACCTCCACGCGTCTATTAAAAACAAACACATTCACAGCCACAAAAATGCATGGCACCACACTATTGTGTGGTTAGGTGCAACACACTTTGAAAAATAATATGCCTGCAGTATTTTTGCATGTTCCCACACGTTAGGCAGCCCATTGAAATTAATGGGCTGAGGAAAAAAAGTAAAAAATGCCCCATTCACACAGGTCCTCTAGCCTGTACAGCATGAATGAGTGGGTTGTTCATGTGGCTGGAACCACCTGTTACACTATGGGGACACAACAGCTGTATGAACACAGTTTTTAGTCTGACAGGTGTGAAGGCGTGGGAAAGTGGCCCTGAATGCTCACTGTCTGTGTTTAGGGCTGTACCCCGGCACCCATATGCCTGTCAAATTAGGACCTGCAGCATTTTCATAGTGTAACATAGGTTGCTTGCAAACTGCAACAGCCACAAAAACAAACCACTGATTCACACTCTACAGACCACAGCACCCATATGAATGAGCCCCAAGACCTCAATTACACACACAGCTTTATTTATTAACTCAGTACAGTTTTATCATTTAGATTTAACAGGAATTTGTTTGGGATTGTGTCCATTAAGAAAGTGTTTAGGTGTCATTCTAGACTCCAATCTGTCTTTCCAGCCCCAGGTCCAATCACTGACAAATTCATGTAGACTCCACCTCCGCAACATCTCCAAAATATGTCCGTTCCTAACTCCAGAAACTACAAAGCAACTCATTCACTCCTATTATTATATCGCGACTTGACTACTGTAACTCCCTCCTCACAGGCCTACCTCAACACAGGCTATCCCCGCTTCAGTCTATCCTGAATTCTGCAGCCAGACTCATCCACCTTACTAACCGCTCTGTATCCGCCACCCCCCTCTGCCAATCCCTCCACTGGCTTCTGATTGCCCAACGCATAAAGTTCAAATTACTAACATTGACGTGCAAAGCTGTTCATAACACTGCCCCAAACTACATCACCAACCTGATATCCATCTGCCACCCAAAACGGGCTCTCCGCTCCTCACAAGACCTCCTACTCTCTAGTTCCCTGGTCTCTTCCTCCCATGCCCGTCTCCAGGGCCTCCCCCATCCTCTGGAACTCACTACCCAATCCATCAGACTGTCACCTACCCTCCTCACCTTTAGGCGCACCCTGAAAGCCCATCTCTTCAGGGAAGCCTACCCCTCCCTCACCTAATTGCCGATCTCCTCCACTCTTCCTACCACTCCATCCCCCACACAGCTATTTCCTCCTGTACCACTATCTCCTAGGAGCAGGGCCCTCGAACCCCTCGTGTATTGTATTGTATTGTTACTGTGCTGTCTCGTGTACTGTCTCCCATTATAATGTACAGCGCTGAGCAAACTATTGGCGCTATATAAATAATGAATAATAATATTTTTACCATAAATATAATTTGGATATTTTCACTGATGGTGTGTAGCTTGTCAGGTAGGCTGTATGGGGTCCCATGATATTGAACAGTGGCCCTGGGTGTATGCTTGTGTCTGTGCCACCTGTATAGTTGGGAAGAACAGTAAGTTCTTCTATGGAATATCTTGAACCTCTGCTATGTACCTCAATGCATCTAGAAATTGGACATGTTTTCAAATGAAAATCCAACAATTATTAGTAATGTTTCCCCTGAAGCAAGCATGAACTAACCCCTTAGTATTATAAAGCATCCCGAATTCTCATTTTCCCCAATGTACCCAATTATGCATAGGCCGGATCTGTGTGCCCAGATAGGACCTCCCAGTGGCTATTCTATGGACAAGGTACACTTTTCTGTATGCCTCATCTATGTTGAGCTGCAATAGTCAATACATTGCAATGGCCAGAAATATTTGTACACAAACCACATGAGCTCAGGTATCCAAACATGAATGTTCCTTCATAGCAAATCTCCATGATGTACTAAATGGGCCTGGCCCACTCTAAATGAATGCATTGTTCCGGTAGGTCCTTCTATTACAGACTTTATGTCAGGGCTCCAGGTATGACCAGAGGTGTGTGGACTGACACAGGGAAACACAGGCTTCAGATATGGTATAAACAATATAATTTATTAAGACTAACAATACAAACCGGAGTGCAAAACTAAACATAAACACAGTGCAAACAAACCAAACCACCCATCGATAACAATACATACAATACAAAGAGTAGTCAGGCAGTAGCCAGTAGCAAACAGGCAAACGGAGTACCAGGAACAGGCGGGAGAGTGGTCGGGGTCACAAGCTGGGTTCAGTAACTCACGGGCAGCGCAGTACAGAGGGTCGGGCAGAGAATGGTCAGGGTCACAAGCCAGGGATCAAGCAGGAGAAGTCAGCAGAGGTCAGGATCAGGCAGGGTCGGCAACAAGTCAGACAGGAACAGGAATACAGGATACAAGGTACAGGGGCCCATGGAAAAAACACACACCAAGGCCCTGACTGTGAGTCTGGCCATTCCTTAAATACAACCCCTGCAATCAGCTTCAGGTGTTTGGCTGATTGCAGGGGTGAGTCTCTGATTGCTGAGAGCACCCTCTGGCCAGCCCTGGTACTGCAGCCCACAAGGCAGGTGAGTCCCACCATTATTGGCAAGTCCATTCCTGACAGTACCCCCCCCTCAAGGAGCGGCCTCAGGACGCTCCAAACAGTCCTAGCTGGGCAAAATGTCAGTCCACAAACCTCTGGTCATACCTGGAGCCCTGACATTACACCAAGGCCAATCCTGACCAGAAGTGGCTGCACAGGGAAGCCATCTTGGCTTGTTGATGGGAAGGATGGATCTTGAGGAGGTTGAGTATTTATATCTGCTAGTGTTTGATGACATTTTGCCAGTCTTTGATATCCCGCCAGTTACCAGACCCAGGCGGTGGAACATTTTGCCCAGCTAGGACTGTTTGGAGCGTCCGCGGGCACCGAGTCATCTGGCAAGACCGCGGGCACCGAGTCAACTGGCAAGACCGCGGGCACCAAGTCATCTGGCAAGACCGCGGGCACCGAGTCATCTGGCAAGACCGCGGGCCCCGAGTCACCTGGCAAGACAGCGGGCTCCGAGTCATCTGGCAAGACAGCGGGCCCCGAGTCACCAGGCACGACAGCGAGCTTTGAGTCAACCGGCACGACAGCAGGCTCCGAGTCAACTGGCATGACAGCGGGCACTGGGTCATCAGGCATCGGGTCATCTGGCTCGACAGCGGGCATCGGGTCATCTGGCATCAAGTCATCTGGCTCAACAGCGGGTACCGGGTCATCAGGCATTAGATCGTCTGGCTCGACAGCGGGCATCGGGTCATCAGGCACGACAGCGGGCATTGGGTCACCAGGCATGACAGCGGGAACTGGGTCATCAGGCATTGGATTGTCTGGCTCGACAGTGAGCATCGGGTCACCAGGCATCAGGTCATCTGGCTCGCCAGCAGGCACCGAGTCATCTGGCAAGACAGTGGGCACCGAGTCATCAGGCACGACAGCGAGCATCGGGTCACCAGGCATCAGGTCATCTGGCTCGACAGTGGGCACCGAGTCATCTGGCAAGACAGCAGGCATTGGGTCATCAAGCAAGACAGCGGGCTCCGAGTCATCTGGCAAGACAGCGGGCATCGGGTCATCAGGCACGACAGCGGGCATCGGGTCACCAGGCATGACAGCGGGAACTGGGTCATCAGGCATTGGATTGTCTGGCTCGACAGTGGGCATCGGGTCACCAGGCATCAGGTCATCTGGCTCGACAGCAGGCACCAAGTCATCTGGCAAGACAGTGGGCACCGAGTCATCAGGCACGACAGCGAGCATTGGGTCACCAGGCATCAGGTCATCTGGCTCGACAGCGGGCACCGAGTCATCTGGCAAGACAGCGGGCATCGGGTCATCAAGCAAGACAGCGGGCTCCGAGTCATCTGGCAAGACAGCGGGCACCGAGTCATCTGGCAAGACAGCGAGCATTGGGTCATCAGGCATCAGGTCATCTGGCTCGACAGCAGGTACCGGGTCATCTGGTTCGACAGTGGGCATCGGGTCACCAGGTATTGGATCGTCTGGCTCGACAGCGGGCATTGGGTCACCAGGCATTGGATTGTCTGGCTTGACAGCAGGTACCGGGTCATTGGGCATTGGATCGTCTGGCTCGACAGCGGGCATCGGGTCACCAGGCATCAGGTCATCTGGCTCGACAGCTGGCATCGGGTCATCAGGCACGACAGCGGGCATCGGGTCACCAGGCATCAGGTCATCCGGCTCGACAGCGGGCACCGAGTCACCTGGCATGATAGGATCATTAGGCTGGATCAGTTCATCAGGCTGGGTACAGACATCAGTCTGGGTAGAGACATCAGGCTGAATTGCGGGTGCCGAGGCACCAGGCTGAACCACGGAAGGCGGGTTCTCAGACGGCAGGCTGACCGGTTTTGATACTGGCAGGATGGTACTGGTTGGAAAGAATTTTTGCTTTTTTCTGGTATTAGTTACTGGAGCACTGTAAGTAAACTCAGGTCTGTAAACAAATGGAGCAGCTAAAGACAGAGAAGAGCTGGAGGATGGAACAGAGGAGGGAGCAGTTGCTACAGAGGACTTCTTTACAGGGTTAAAGAAAGGATAGGTGCAGCGAGTGGGAGCAGGGGACTGGTTTGTGGTAGTTAGCAGAGTATACTGGGCCGTCACTGGGGGTGCTGTTGGGGATGCATGAAGAGTGCCTTGAGCAGAGGAATGATGTTGCAAGCTGACTGAGGCTGGGTGCAACAAATCTGTCCATGTCTGCAGTACTGGTTGAACAAAACTCAGCTTACACATAGCCTATCTGACCAAAGACTGCACTGCGTTTATGCAATCCATAAGCACATGTGATGGACAAGCTGCATAATGCTCATGGAAGTAATCTGGATCATCCTCCAACAACCATACCAGTGATTCCACTTGATCCACACTAAATGGGGGAAAAAAAGTCATTCCTGCTTTCAGGGGTACAGGACCGAGCCAACTCAGCACAAACCTGGATAAATGGCTGCACCTCAGAAAACTCTGTGCCCTGATCTACTAGGCAATGAGCGATCCTTATACACTCTAGTAGTTGATCCCTGGGATACTCCTTCAGAGTCTGATAAGCATAGTCTTTGTCATCAAACACTAGCAGAGATAAATACACCACCTCATCAAGATCCATCCTTCCCAGCAACAATAAGCCAAGATGGCTTCCCTGTGCAGCCACTTCTGGTCAGGATTGGCCTTGGTGTAATGTCAGGGCTCCAGGTATGACCAGAGGTTTGTGGACTGACACAGGGAAACGCAGGCTTCAGATATGGTATAAACAATATAATTTATTAAGACTAACAATACAAAACGCAGTGCAAACTAAACATAAACACAGTGCAAAAAACAAACCAAACCACCCACCGATAACAATACATACCATACAAAGAGTAGTCAGGCAGGCCGGGTCAGTAGCAAACGGGCAAACGGAGTACCAGGAACAGGCGGGGAGAGTGGTCGGGGTCACAAGCTGGGTTCAGTAACTCACGGGCAGCGCAGTACAGAGGGTCGGGCAGAGAATGGTCAGGGTCACAAGCCAGGGATCAAGCAGGAGAAGTCAGCAGAGGTCAGGATCAGGCAGGGTCGGCAACAAGTCAGACAGGAACAGGAATACAGGATACAAGGTACAGGGGCCCATGGAAAAACACACACCAAGGCCCTGACTGTGTGAGTCTGGCCATTCCTTAAATACAACCCCTGCAATCAGCTTCAGGTGTTTGGCTGATTGCAGGGGTGAGTCTCTGATTGCTGAGAGCATCCGCTGGCCAGCCGTGGTACTGCAGCCCACAAGGCAGGTGAGTCCCACCATTATTGGCAAGTCCATTCCTGACACTTTAGCTACATGTGGAGAAAATTGCACTGAATTTTCATCATATTGCATATTATCTGGTTATCTTAAGTCTCGGGAATAGAATCAAGAGGATATGACACTTTTTTAACCGGTTCCCGCCTGGCCAATAGTACAAAGGCAGCCGGCAAAACACCTCGTCCTCCGGGTGGACGCCATATGGCGTCCTTTCAGGCATGCCGTGTCCGAGGTCACGGCCATGTACCTCGGACACGGCCGATGACAGATCTGCGTACTGGCCCCGTTTCCAGTACCATGTGACCTGCTATGACCAATCACAGCAGGTCACATGACAGTTGTATACAATGGATGGCTTCCTTTCATGCCATCCATTGTATACAAGTGTGTCTAGCTGTGAATGGTCACAGCGATCACATGCACAAGCTGGGCCAATCACAGCCCAGCTGTGTCATGTTATAAGCACAAAAAAAAACCCTGACTGAATCGATGTCATTCAGGTAAATGCTTGCTTATAGCAAAGTAATTCTTTGCTATAAGCAAATTGGAGAAGTGATCAGTATTTTTTTTTTTTTTTTACAAAGTAGTACAATGTTACTATGGTAACATTATACTACTTTGGTCATAGTGAATTATGAAAAAAAAATCTTAAAAAAAGAGAAAAAAAATGTAATAAAAATAAATAAATTTAAAAAAAAATCACTTTTTTTTTTCGTACTGTCACCAGTCAGTGTCCCTGATCACCGCCATGCCAGTTATATGATGATGCTGTACTGCACTGGTGACCGTATGTAAAAAAAAAATAGTGAACATTTTTTTTAATTTTCCAAAAAATTATGGCAAAAAAATTACAGCTTCAAAAAACTCGCCATGCCTCTTATGAAATACGTCGGACTGTCTACTTTGCAAAAAGTGTTTTTCTTTTCAAAATTTTCATTTTTTTTGTTAATTTAGCAAAAAATAAAAACCCCAGTAGTGATTAAATACCACCAAAAGAAAGTTCTAGTTGTGTGAAGAAAATGATAAAATTTTAGTTTGGGTACAGTGTTGTATGACCGTGCAATTGTCATTCAAAGATGCTTGTTCTGGGGGCAATGGACAGGAGAGAGGGGCCAAGGAATGCTGGCGTGGGAGCAACTAAATGAATGATCTTGGCTACTCTGTGGAACACTATTGTTCAGGTAAGCAGGTAAGTCTTACATGTTTATTATTGTATTTTGGAACAATTGTTAAGATCACTTTTCCCAATCCACCTGTGACGCCAGACAGCTAATCCCAACAGGCTTCCCAGGGTCTCCATCTGCCTTGTACTCCAGCAGTTAATCAGCTGAAAGAAAAATAAAAACATTTAGATACATAGCAGAGGTTTTTTTCTTCATAAAACTACAGGTGGCACAGACAATAGCCAAAACTGGCCAGCTGTTCTACTTCCTCTTTACTCTCTTGCCCAAAGCCACAGCCTTTATTCATGTAATGTTTGAGTGGCCAGGGCAACTTGTTGTCATGTTGACTACACTCTGGCTAAAATGGCAACCAATGCTTTGCACCCCCTCTACCCAATATCCTGCTACAGGGTGGCATGGATGAGCCCACCTTGGCCGTGTTGCCTTTTTTGCCTCATCTGTCAATCCCTGGGTTCTTGCTGCCGATTACTCGCCGGTGCCTGCTGATTCATGAGCATCTCTGATGGGGAAGATAACTGCATGTAAACAAGACAGTTCTCCTCCCTGTCAGCTCGTGCACACTGCTTTGGATGGATGTGCCCAGCACCGCCATCCAAAGCAGTGTCCTTACAGTGATGCACACAGACACAGCACAGAGTAAAACAGCACACAGGTAACCCTTGGCTTGCCCCACATGTTAACCCCTTCATGCCCAGTGCCATTAGTACAGTGCCAGTGCTTTTTTGGGAGCAGTGATCACTGTATTGGTGTCACTGGGGATGTCAGAGACACCAAGTTTTATTCCCCCCAAGTGGCAAGAATGTCTGCCGTTCGCCACGATTACTAATAAAAATAAAACAATTGAAACAGGATATATTCTGCCATTTGTAGACCCTTGAACTTTCACATCAACAAATTAATTTACACGTATTTCGATTTTTGGGAGCAAAGGAATGGAGCAGAATACATTTTGCACTACAGAAATGGACATATTTAACCCTTTCAAGCTGGCCGCACGCAAATGTGCAGCCTCCCGGCGTCAGGGCCTAGACGCCGAGCGGGCCGCACATTTGCGTTCATGTAACAAAAATCATATGTGCTGCACTCACGGAAAGGTCCCGGTCCGCTCTTTCGATTGGCACCTTTCCCGATCATGTGACTGGCCATGACGTGACATCACGGCGGCCACATAACACTAAGCCCCAACCCGTCCCACCCACCTCCCGGCGCAGGAACTCCTCTTCACGCCGGGACGATCCGGCGTGAAGGGGTTAATAGCAAAAAGGGAGAAATATTGCTTGGGTCACAAAAGTGAATGACTTTGGGGATCTAGCGCAAGTAATTAAAAAACACACAGGCAACAAAATAACTACCCAAGAAAGCTCAAATCACTGGATACAAAGGATGTACATTTCATTTGGGGGCAGCGTTGCATGATTGTGCAACTGTCAGTTAAAGTAATGCATTGCTTTAATGCTATAAATGGCCTGGTCAGGAAGGGGTGAAATCCTCAGGAGGGCACGTATTAACATCTGTGTCCATGTGAGGGAGAGCCCTCAAAGTTGCCATTTAGTGCTGTTGCAAGGCAACAAACAAATCAGTTGATACAGCAGGGTGTTTGCTACAAGGGGTCACTAATGGTAAGTCATCTCACAAAGCATGTTCTCGCATAGGTCCCCCCTGTGATTTATGGAGGTCAAAGATCAGGAGCCCAGACCTCCGAGTGGTGTGAATGCGCAAAATGGTTGATTTCCTGACATCAAAAGGGTGGCCCATGTGGGCTGTGATGCTGCCCTGGGACATGAAGATTCCTGCCAATAGAGTGGCCCCCCTGGTGGAGCCAATGACCTACTTCCTGGAGGGTTCAGGGCAGCACAGTACTTCCTGGGGTTTGGAAGTGATGCTCCCTTCTAATTTCAAAATTTCAAAAACTCCTTGGCCAGAGAACAATATGGGCGGGTTAACAAGCATTGAATGGGTGTTGCTTTTAGAGTGGTATAATTCTCATTGGCAGCCTTGGCCCCTCTTACCATTTTCTAGCCATAGACCAAACAGATACTTCAAGCTGAGCTCCATCTAAAAGGGGAGGTTCCACTTTAATGCATGTCCCCCGCTCCCAGTTAAGGATTGTCACCTTTGGGGATTGAGTCTCTGAATGTGACAGGTACCTGCTCCCACTTCTGCTGCAATTGAGGTTGGCGATCAGAAATTGGCCTTCACCCCCCCCGTAGTCTTCTTGGACATGTGACAGGACCACTCCTAAAGCGCAGCACAACTCAAGAATGTGTAGTGGACACCTGGCTGGGAAGCCACAAGCTGTCACAGCCAGGGGCACACACTGAAGATGCTGGCGCCAGGGAGAGAAGATGGCTGCTAAAACCAGTCATGATGAGGACCCTGCTGGATGGGAGCGGTGAGTGTCTGTATTTGACAAGTCAGCAGCTACAGTTTTTGTATCTGCTGAGTTTGATTGTTTAACAAATCAAATGCAAATCCTCTTTAACTTAGAGGACGAACTTACATTAGGTCTAATCTTTGCTCTCGGATATATGCTCTGTCAAACTCTGTTACTTTTTTGGTCAATAAATAAGAGCTGGATTTGGGGATCTTTGTGTGGATTATTCTTGGTAATATTGTAGTCTGTTACTAACATTAATATTATCCGAGCTCAGATATACTAGCCAATTCTAGGGATCGACAATATACAACTTTATTTAAGATAACGATTGCTCAAGACCAAAAAAAGGACCCAATTGAT